TTAAAAATTGCTTGAAGATGAAAGTGGAAAATAACTCTGAAATTCTCTTATGTCTGGTTAAGAGAATTATTTATTAGAATCAACATACTGTATGAAACATGAAAGCTGAAGACTTGTAACATTACACATTTGAAGTATGAGGTATAATAGATCTTAAGGATGTGATGCAATATCCACACAATATTTTAACTGCACCATTAAGTAGTAAATAATGTAACAAGTGGCATTGTATTGACTTCTGATATTTATCTAACTTATTAAAATAATCAAAATAATAATACATTATAAAATAGTTTAGAAATCATATTATTCCACAAAAGATATTATATCCAATTCATTTTCATTATTAAATATGCCAAATGCTATTTTAACAATTATTATTTATAAAAACATTCGTTGGAAATTGTTCATAAACGAGGGTACTATCAAAACTTCACTTAGTTGGCTACAATATAAATTTAGAAAAATAATTTTGAAATTATAATTTTAATCATCATTTTTTTACATAGCTTCACTCAATTTTACCGTAACGCTCGGATATCTAAGCAAATAGGAAGGTTGACATAATTCCTTTTGCAAGATTGTGTTCAGAACCAGGATTTGGCATAGATCAGAAGTACTCTCAACTGAACCTATACCACCAACTTAACGGTGATGAGACATCGAACGTACATGTTATCTATAAGATATCACCTCATATACTTAGGTAACAGAATACTATATCCGCTAGCCGGAAATCGTTATAACGATTGTTTGCTTCGAATATGCAATAATTATAATCTTACTGTGCTCAATCCTGATGGGCATTTGAGTCCTGTATTCAAAGTGATTGTGTATTTCTTGTCTTTATGTAAGTTGAGTTAAGCATGCATTTTTCATTTTTCATGTCTGACACGGTGTATTCCTTAAGAACGAGAGAACTCTACATTTGGTGCAACTACCTTTTCTTAGAACAGTCACACGCCTGAATTCCTCGATATTGTACATCTGTTTAACCACTATCAACGAACTTGGATATCTTTTTTTTCCATCCCTCGATGGCGGACGCTTATTTAGACCCATTGTCTACTCGGCTGAGCTCAGGAGCTTCTCAAGTTTTCTGTCACCTTTTATAACGCTCCCTCCCACATTCTTTTGCTTGTCTGCAGGCAATTGTATTATCCTAATCATTCTGAGCTGCTCTTTCTAGCCATTCATTAGTTTTAAGTTTGAAAAAATTCTACGAAGGACCGCAGAATGGTTGTGGCCCAATATAATATGAGGCCGCCCCCTTTTCTCGCTAGTTCATAAGCTTTTTCGTTTCCCTCAAAACCGTTGTGCCCTGGAATCCATATTAAGTGGACTCTGTTCCTTACAGCAAGGTCTTTGAGAAGTTGAAGGCATTCCCACACTGATTTTGAGGTTACGCGAGGTGAGCGTAGTGCTACGAGTGCCGATTTACTGTTAGAAAAGATATATATGTTTTTTCCTGTGACAGATTTACCTTTATATATCCTGAGACATAATTCAATTGCGTGTACTTCAGCCTAAAAAACTGAGTTTTCTTTACTTATACTCGCAAATATTCCTCTTTAGGTCTTACTCCATATACTCCCGCTCCCACTCCTTCCATCGTTTTGGAGCCATCCGTGTACCACAGATGGTTATCTCCAGCGAATGGAGGTATGTTCAGTTCCCATTCATTTCCGTCTGGTATTAGTATTAGGAACTTTTGGTGAAAGTTGAACCAGAAACTAATTAATTTAAACTGTGTAATTTATAATATTATATTGAAGCTTTTGAACGACAAGTGACTTAAAATATATAAAATTTGAATCATATATAAAAATCATAAGTTTTTTTTATTTCTCTCTAAATCAATCTAGTTTTATCTAGTTTATATAATGGGATCGTAATAAATCTCTGTTATCTAGAAATGACAAGCCAAACTTTAACACAATCATAAAGTAAATTTTTATTCATGAAAGTCTTTCAGAAGGCAAAAATGAACGCATGAGCGAATAATTTGAAAGTGCAACGAAAGATTGCACGACTTAGATTTCATTTGTTGGAATTATTTCCGATAGACAATGAAAGCATCGATGAAAAAAGGAAAGAAATTCGGTGTCAACACTTTTAACATCAAATTTAAAAATAAAAGCAAAAAATCTTGTACCAAACTGAATTCGGTCATGGGGACTACAAACGCCAAAGTCAAACCGCACCCCAAATGCCACCACAGAAATTAACAAACGAGCTTGGTATTGGCTTTTGTTGCACAAAAGTTTCATTCATCATAGTTTTATACGAGTAGAGGAAAAAAATTAATTTTTCTAGTGTTTTAGCCACAAATTCACTTGAAGTAACAGAGCAACAGAGCTATAGTAACTAAAAAGACACTAACTGTAGGCAATCGTGCTAACTTTGGTTCTGCCATTGCATCAAAAAACAACAACCACTCCATAAAGAGTGTGTTTGCTGACCACGAATGGATGCGAGTGCTTCTAGCTTAAAGTGGTGGTACAGCTGTTAACTGCGAGCCATGCTGCATGAAATTGAATTTGCACTACACCGCAAAAACCAAACGAATTGGTTATAAATCCATTCATTCCAATTGAAAGAGCTACATCGCGGCTCACCGCATACTATAGTTGCGATTTTTATAGTTTCGCTTAAATGCAATGTTCGGTGCAAATATACCAGCACCAAATGTTAACTGAAGATAGAAATTTTGAAAGTTAAGTTGTGTATGAATCACAACAGCATCAGATGCTGTTCCATGTTAGTTCAGACAACGTTGTGCACGTGGCTATTGGTTACAATGCAATTGCAGTTTTCATATTTCCATTGAACTTAATCAATTTCTTTTGTTTCAATAGATTAACTCAATCGTTGCTTAGAGAGGTAATAATAAAAACGTTAAATATACATTCATAGGAGGAAAACCATTCCTATTTCAACAGCTGCGATTTGATTTACACTCCAATTGTTCTATTCTTCCAAGTGTTATCTGAAGATATGTAATACAATTCAAAGATTTCTGCATTGCAGGTAAAAATTAAAGCAAAATTAAATCACTAAAATACCACGTTCATAAAAAAGAAAATTAAAAAAATTTAAATAAAAAACAAACTAAAAATGAAAGTATCTGCAAGCTAGTCAAATATTTATTCAAATATAAAAAATCAAATGTAATATAGGGAAAGTATTATTAATAACATCCGAACTTCGAAAATATTTCTGCAAAGGTTAAAAAGTTAAATTGTTGTTATCACCAGCTGCACACTGCAGCTATGCTGTCCATTTATAGGCTGCGTTGTTCGCAGGACTAGACTGGCGACTCTCCTTATCATGCCATTGGCATTGTATGGAGGACATTGGAAATCACAGTTTTCTTTTCCACAGTTATGCATAGGAAGATAGGAAGTGAAGTATTTTTTCTGTAAACTGAAACGTATGTTGTTGGCAGTGCTAAGTCGCAACCGTACCTTGTCTGCGACAAGGCAGTGGTCGATATTTTAACCACGGAACGAACGTACGTTCAGAATACTTGAAGCATGTCTTGCGTCAATCAGGAAATTATCAATCTGGTTTCGTGTTGATTGTTTGGGAGATACCCATATGAATATCCCTGTGAGGGAATCATATAATACATACCACCATCAATCAAACAGCCACAGACCGTTGTTGGAGATGAATTCATGGAGACTAAATTTTCCGTATATTGGATTAAAGATTTTGTATCTTCCAACCTTTGCGTTTAAATGCCAGAAAACAATTTAAACGAAACGTGCAGGACCGCAGCAAAAATTTCTCGAATCTAGTGTAGAATATATCTTTCGTCAAGCTGCCCTCTTCTTCTGTCTTGCGCAGATCAGCATTCAGTTGATCCATAATTTCAGAATTCACGTCACCCAGAATTGGTGAAGTCTTGCCAGTCGCTAAATTCAAACCTTTTGCTAAAGAGCAAATTCCTAGGGCCATCCTCAACGCCACCTGAAGCTTATTAGATCGGGAAATCACAAGGTCAGTATAACTACGTGCAACCTAAAAGAAGGTTAGGGCAAATATAGGTCAGTTTTGTGATCGACAAACTATTCTTGGAAATTTTGGAGATATCTGGTGGTGTCCATATATATATATAAAAATTATGCGACTATATTTAGACACGAATGGTTCATAACGACTATATTTTTTATTAACAACGGTGGTATCAGTTTAGAGAATTTCGAAACAAATCTAACGTACCCCAGTTAAATCTCCATTTGTTCTACAATTTTCAAATCATATAAATTTATATAAAATTTTATTTTTGAGTACATATGTTACAAAAAGTTATTAATTAAAATTTGTTTTAGTTTTAATCTAAAAGTATTTTTCTTATAAGAATACATTATTTTTCTAAATAAGTTGTTTAAAGGCAGAGTAATGATATATTTAGAATAAGCATTTTAACACAAATTGATCATCCGCATTCTATATGACACATATTATGATAATATGTACTTGCCTTATGCCAATTGCACCCCAATTATACATCAAGTCAACAGAGACTCAAATCCTTGAACTAAAAATTTATTTAACATAATATGTAATATTTCAATGAAATAAACAAAACAATAAAATATTGATGTGATTAAGTTTTAATAGTAGATATCGCATAGGTCGCGGTGTTAATAAAAATGTTTATTGCTTTGTTTATCTCAGTAAAATCATCGAATCATATAGCACGAATCTTATACCTGATAGTAATTTCACTGATTAACCCTTAAATATAACTTACAGGTGCACATATAAGGAAAGATGTAAAGGCGAGTAAAGATGTCAGACTACCTAAAATCTTTATATCATACAATAATTAAATAGAGGGCGATATTTAACCTAAATAATTGTAAACAACCTTTTTTAAATATATAAAAGGGAATAATTCTGCAAACTTTTATCAGTCAAAGAAAAGCATTCGTGCAATTAATTTCATTTAAATTTCATTTACACTTAAAAAATATTTTAAATATTCAAAAATGAAGTCGCAATCATTATCTAAATTATCTAAAAATAATAATGGCCAAAATATAACCGTGGGATATGCAATATTTTTACATAAAAATGAACTCAATCGTCGTAAGAAGAATTACATACGCCGATCCGCCTCCAAAATCAAACTCACCGATGGTTTGATTTCCAATGTGAAGAGAAATATTAAATATTGTACTCCAGATGACTTGGTAACTATGAGCCGTGAAACTATTTATAAGAAGAAGTTGGACAAATCAGTTAATCTTAGAGTTGAGTACATGCAACAGTTAAGAAAATGCCGAAAACTCCAACAGAAGACACCGCATGAAGAGAATGAAGAGAAGAAAGACAAATAGTAGAACAGCAGTTATGATAATACTCTCTAGAAAAGATGGACCAATGGCTCTATGCAGTCAATCGTGATTATGACATCGACAATTATTTAAAATTTTCGAATAATATTGTATATAAAAGTGAATTGAATTGCTTAAACTATTTTGTGTTTAATGTATTTAATGTATGTGATTATTGAAAAATATTTTTAAAATTTCCTTATTATATTTTGTTATTCACAAAATTATATAAAATGTAAAATTATTATTAAGATTTAAGTTAACAAATAAATAATAGAAATCAAAAATTTTTAATCTCTAATTAATTTAATCTCTACATTGCTTGAAATTCGAGAAAGACAAGATCTGAAACCATTTGTACAAATAACACTTCATCCATATTTGCGAAATTTATTTGTCCAAAACGTATTTACTTTACACAAATGCACAGATTGATGAGATTGATCCATTACTAAGGATATCTACACAAGTAATTCTAATATAAAATTTTTATGATGAAGATTAATAAAAATGTGTGAGAAGCCAGGAAATAAAGAAACTTATGTATTTTATTGGACTTATGTGAGTTCCAAAATATTAAGTCTATTGAAACTCAATAATTTATTTTTAATTAAAAATTTTGAGAATATCGTAAATATATCATAAGTGAAGATATATTGTCCATATAACAAAATTAAAAAATTTGAAAGTATCGTACCATAATTACGTATAGTAATTTTTAAATATTAGGTATATTATATACTAGATAGTTTATGTGACGCTTATATTAAAATTTAAACCAGTCTGATCATCCTAACAGAATATAAACCAATACAGTAACATATTCACCTGAAGGACAGCTTGATATGGCAAATCATAGGCAATCTAGTATTTAGAACTAGTGTGTGGGTTGACTAAATATTAAATTTTAGGTAGCTTTACAGAAAAAGTTTCATACTCAACTATTTGCTATATGCGTTTACAAATATTATATGGAATTTATGTTGAAACAAATAAAAGAATTTCTTAATGTTACTTTTTAGTATTAGTTAATGCAAATATTTCAAATATATTGCAAAGTGCTTCACAATAATTAAATCTCCAAATATAATCTCAATTTGATAGTTTCCACTATTCTTTTGAATTAGAAATTTATATGAAATTTTTCCCATTACTATTATATATATGAATGGTATGACTAAAACAACGACTATATTTTTTATTCATAATAGGTGGTATTAGTTTAGAGAATTTCAAAATCTCAAATCTAACGTACTCAAGTTACGTGTAGATAATAGTAGATATCGCATAGGTCGCGGTGTTAATAAAAATGTTTATTGCTTTGTTTATGTCAGTAAAATCATCGAATTATATAGCACGAATTTTATACCTGATAGTAATTTCACTGATTAACCCTTAAATATAACTTACAGGTGCACATATAAAGGAGAGGTGTAAAGGCGACTAAAGATGTCAGACTACCTAAAATCTTTATATCATGCAATAATTAAATAGAGGGCGATATTTAACCTAAATTATTGTAAACAACTTTTTTTAAATATATAAAAGGGAACAATTCTGCAAACGTTTATCAGTCAAGGAAAAGTATCCGTGCAATTAATTTCATTAAAATTTCAGTTACACTTAAAAAATATTTTAAATATTTAAAAATGAAGTCGCAATCATTATCTAAAAATAATAATGGCCAAAATATAACCGTGGGATATGCAATATTTTTACATAAAAATGAACTCAATCGTCGTAAGAAGAACTACATACGCCGATCCGCCTCCAAAATCAAACTCACCGATGGTTTGATTTCCAATGTGAAGAGAAATATTAAATATTGTACTCCAGATGACTTGGTAACTATGAGCCGTGAAACTATTTATAAGACGAAGTTGGACAAATCAGTTAATCTTAGAGTTGAGTACATGCAACAGTTAAGAAAATGCCGAAAACTCCAACAGAAGACACCGCATGAAGAGAATGAAGAGAAGAAAGACAAATAGTAGAACAGCAGTTATGATAATACTCTCTAGAAAAGATGGACCAATGGCTCTATGCAGTCAATCGTGATTATGACATCGACAATTATTTAAAATTTTCGAATAATATTGTATATAAAAGTGAATTGAATTGCTTAAACTATTTTGTGTTTAATGTATTTAATGTATGTGATTATTGAAAAATATTTTTAAAATTTCCTTATTATATTTTGTTATTCACAAAATTATATAAAATGTAAAATTATTATTAAGATTTAAATAATACAATATATACAAATATATATACAAATAAATACAAATAAATAATAGAAATCAAAAATTTTTAATCTCTAATTAATTGAATCTCTACATTGCTTGAAATTCGAGAAAGACAAGATCTGAAACCATTTGTACAAATAACACTTCATCCATATTCGCGAAATTTATTTGTCCAAAACGTATTTACTTTACACAAATGCACAGATTGAATGAGATTGATCCATTACTAAGGATATCTACACAAGTAATTCTAATATAAAATTTTTATGATTAAGATTAATATAAATGTGTGAGAAGCCAGGAAATAAAGAAACTTATGTATTTTATTGGACTTATGTGAGTTCCAAAATATTAAGTCTATTGAAACTCAATAATTTATTTTTAATTAAAAATTTTGAGAATATCGTAAATATATCATAAATGAAGATATATTGTCCATATAACAAAATTAAAAAATTTGAAAGTATCGTATTAATGTAATATATTACCATAATTACGTATAGTAATTTTTAAATATTAGGTATATTATATACTAGGTAGTTTATGTGGCGGTTATATTTAAATTTAAACCAGTCTGATCATCCTTATGGAATACAGTAACCCAATACAGAAACATATTCACCTGAAGGACAGCTTAATATGGCAAATCTTAGGCAATTTAGTATTTAGAACTAGTGTGTGGGTTGACTAAATATTAAATTTTAGGTAGCTTTACAGAAAAAGTTTCATACTCAACTATTTGCTATATGCGTTTACAAATATTGTATGGAATTTATGTTGAAACAAATAAAAGAATTTCTTAATGTTACTTAGTTAGTTAATGCAAATATATCAAATATATTGCAAAGTGCTTCACAATAATTAAATCTCCAAATATAATCTCAATTTGATAGTTTCCACTATTCTTTTGAATTAGAAATTTATATGAAATTTTTCCCATTACTATTATATATATGAATGGTATGACTAAAACAACGACTATATTTTTTATTCATAATAGGTGGTATTAGTTTAGAGAATTTCAAAATCTCAAATCTAACGTACTCAAGTTACGTGTAGATAATAGTAGATATCGCATAGGTCGCGGTGTTAATAAAAATGTTTATTGCTTTGTTTATGTCAGTAAAATCATCGAATTATATAGCATGAATCTTATACCTGATAGTAATTTCACTGATTAACCCTTAAATATAACTTACAGGTGCACATATAAAGGAGAGGTGTGAAGGCGACTAAAGATGTCAGACTACCTAAAATCTTTATATCATGCAATAATTAAATAGAGGGCGATATTTAACCTAAATTATTGTAAACAACTTTTTTTAAATATATAAAAGGGAACAATTCTGCAAACGTTTATCAGTCAAGGAAAAGTATCCGTGCAATTAATTTCATTAAAATTTCATTTACACTTAAAAAATATTTTAAATATTCAAAAATGAAGTCGCAATCATTATCTAAAAATAATAATGGCCAAAATATAACCGTGGGATATGCAATATTTTTACATAAAAATGAACTCAATCGTCGTAAGAAGAACTACATACGCCGATCCGCCTCCAAAATCAAACTCACCGATGGTTTGATTTCCAATGTGAAGAGAAATATTAAATATTGTACTCCAGATGACTTGGTAACTATGAGCCGTGAAACTATTTATAAGAAGAAGTTGGACAAATCAGTTAATCTTAGAGTTGAGTACATGCAACAGTTAAGAAAATGCCGAAAACTCCAACAGAAGACACCGCATGAAGAGAATGAAGAGAAGAAAGACAAATAGTAGAACAGCAGTTATGATAATACTCTCTAGATAAGATGGACCAATGGCTCTATGCAGTCAATCGTGATTATGACATCGACAATTATTTAAAATTTTCGAATAATATTGTATATAAAAGTGAATTGAATTGCTTAAACTATTTTGTGTTTAATGTATTTAATGTATGTGATTATTGAAAAATATTTTTAAAATTTCCTTATTATATTTTGTTATTCACAAAATTATATAAAATGTAAAATTATTATTAAGATTTAAGTTAACAAATAAATAATAGAAATCAAAAATTTTTAATCTCTAATTAATTTAATCTCTACATTGCTTGAAATTCGAGAAAGACAAGATCTGAAACCATTTGTACAAATAACACTTCATCCATATTTGCGAAATTTATTTGTCCAAAACGTATTTACTTTACACAAATGCACAGATTGATGAGATTGATCCATTACTAAGGATATCTACACAAGTAATTCTAATATAAAATTTTTATGATGAAGATTAATATAAATGTGTGAGAAGCCAGGAAATAAAGAAACTTATGTATTTTATTGGACTTATGTGAGTTCCAAAATATTAAGTCTATTGAAACTCAATAATTTATTTTTAATTAAAAATTTTGAGAATATCGTAAATATATCATAAGTGAAGATATATTGTCCATATAACAAAATTAAAAAATTTGAAAGTATCGTATTAATGTAATATATTACCATAATTACGTATAGTAATTTTTAAATATTAGGTATATTATTACTAGGTAGTTTATGTGGCGGTTATATTTAAATTTAAACCAGTCTGATCATCCTTATGGAATACAGTAACCCAATACAGAAACATATTCACCTGAAGGACAGCTTGATATGGCAAATCTTAGGCAATTTAGTATTTAGAACTAGTGTGTGGGTTGACTAAATATTAAATTTTAGGTAGCTTTACAGAAAAAGTTTCATACTCAACTATTTGCTATATGCGTTTAC